GGGGGGGGGGGGGGGGGGGGGGGGGGGGGGGGGGGGGGGGGGGGGGGGGGGGGGGGGGGGGGGGGGGGGGGGGGGGGGGCGCACAGAAGGCACAGCAGCAGGGCAGGGGAAAAACGTGTGGTATGACGTGACAAATAACCAAACCACGAGGGAAACGGGCTTTGCAGAAAATGGAGCACGGGGAAACACGTGCGGTGTGACGTGAAGAGCCATCAATAGACAAGATACGGAGGGCAAGGGGCTTGCGAAAACGGCACGCGAAGTGGTACACATAGCGGCGACAAGACACGCTTGGAGAACGCAAGCGAGCAATCAAACAGGTACGCTGCTGGTCAGGTCAAGCGGATAAGGTATGGTGGCATCGAGGGTCGGCAAGGAGAGGCGACACGGCATCCTCTTCCAAGTGCGCCCTCTTGGTCTCTGTCGGTCTCCCTCTCTCTGTCTCTCTGTCTCTGTCTCTCGCTCGTTCGCTCGCTCGCTCCCCCTCTCTCTCTGTTTCTTCTCCCGCCCACCCACGAGGCATGGGAAGACAGCAAAACGTCGCACCCGCACCTGGTCGGCGATCAAGCTCATGGCGCCCCCCACGATGACGAGCCTCACAACGAGGGACAGGATATACCGGTAATGGCGCTTCACCACAAGAAAACGCCAGATCGTCACGAGCGAAGCCCGACCCGACAGCATCGTGGGGGGACGAAACAGGAACGATGAACAAACAGCCACGGTTAGCGATGCGAAGAAAAAATACAACCGGGGTGCATGGCCGAGCACCATCAAGAACATGGGCAAGAGGCGGGGAAAGCCAGCGTCGCAGATGAAACAACGTGGGTCCTTTACCTAGCCGTTGGCCAGGCCGGAACATACCCGCTGAAAGGTAGACACACGAACGGACAGACAGATGGATTGGCAGAGCAGCACGCATGGAATGGACGACACACAAAGGACCATGCATCCAACACGCACGGCCACATATTCCCGCGGCGAGAGGCTGCTGGGGAGGTGTTGAGGCAACGTCGACACCGCTTCCCCCCACACCTCTTCGGACCTGGGATAGCCAGCCCGTCTGGCAACACAGCGTGGGGGCGAACCCGAGGTGATGGTTTTCATTAATAACTCGTCATCAAAAACAGTACTTTCGGTTCACGTCCATGCTGTGCTACCAACCGGACTACCCAGGTCCGAAGAGGTGTGGGGGGAAGCGGTGTCGACGTTGCCCTGAACTCCTCGCTAGCAAACTCTTTCGGCGGGCACATTTTAGTCTAGCGTGTTGGATGCATGCGTCTTGTCCATCGTCCTGTTTCTCTGCGCATCTGTCTGTCTGCAACGGACAGACAGAACGGCAGACAGAAGACAAACAGACAGACAGACAGACAGACAGACAGACAGAAATCGCACACACCTCTGCGGACTTCGGGTAGTCCGGCTGGTAGCATAATGTTGGTGCAAACCAGAAGTAGAGCAAGTTGAGGACACCGATGTTGTCCGGGTAGTGAGTAATGGTTGCCGTGTCGACGTCGCTGGGTTGACTCTGCAAGATGATATTCGTAATTATTCGTAATTTCGCGAGATACACGCGTCATGAGGGAAGAAAGGGGGGATGAGAATCGGCAGGGCAAGTTTCAAACGACCACGAAATAAGCCGCGCGGCACGTAGACCGTGTATCACTAAGCGAGTCTATCTTTGCTTGGCCCTTGTCGAGCGGGGTCGGCCGGGTTCCATGATACGGACCTGCCACAGCGACCAAACCGGCGCTCCGTTCTGTCCAAACAAACCTTCTCAACCGACATCGGAAAATATGATAGCGACGCCACCAACAACGAACAAAACAGACGCTACAAAACGCCACCTTTCAATACTTTCTGTACATGCATACGATTCTTCGTACATGCTGTTGCCCCCGGTCCGTACTTCCATTCTCGATATGCATACCATTTGCTCACCTGTTGCTTGCTGCCCCCCACCCGCCCACCCACTGTTACTTGGTATTTTTTCTATATTGTATGCATTACCGTTCTGCTCACCTGTTGCTGCTGCTGCTGCTGCTGCTGCCCCCCGTCCGAGAACCCCTCCACGCTCCACCCGTCGGTGCCCCCCCCCC